CTCATTGATCACATGTTCTGTACATGTTATTTTCACCAAACTTCTGTAGAACCAGCTTCGAGTCATTTCATCTATGAGGAATTTGTTTAGCATCCATTGCCTAAAGGAGGATAGATATAACATAGTAATTCAGAAACGTTTTCCTTGTCTACTAACGGAAATGTTCCTATGTTTTAATACTTTGCTTACTTTTTGTATGGCATCTTCCGCTATTCCAATACACCTTCGGATTTCTAAGTCACATTTTCCGTTTTACTTTATGCTCAGCACTATGAATCTCATCCTAAACAGTACCCCCCACTCTCCCACTGTATTTCGCCCCAAAGTATAAAATACAGAACAGCGGGCTAGACATTTTACAAACTCTACGTTTCGTTAAATTTCGCAAACCAATCGAAATAAGCTGATTTTTTTGAAAATACTTTGATAAAAACCCTATTCGCGATTTAGTAATTTATTTAATTTAATTTAATTTTGTAGGACTTCATTGTCTTTTAAGAAAATTTCTTTTTTTTTTTTTTTCATTTTAACAGAGAAGAAATTCTCAGGATTTCTTACTTCTGTGCATGCAAAATCCAACTGGCCATGCGTAAATATTTCTTTCTGGAGTCAAATTCCAAAGTTTTGAAGCGTTTGACCTTGTAACATGTTTATAGTTCTCACAAATGCAGGGCGGGCTGGAAACTGAATTCTTGTATATATAAAAACTTAAAGAAAAGATATGCAAGAAACTATTATATTTTTATTAAATAAGTATTTGTTATTTTAATCATTAAATTGCTTTTTTTTTTTTTTTTAAATAGCTGGGGTATTTTGTATGTTAAATAATAAAATTAAATTAATGAAAATTTATTGTAGTAAGCTATGCACCCTAGTAAAACTAGCTGTACATTGTAACTCCTTACCTGTTTGCACTTCTCCTCAGAATTTAGTTTCGATCTTTCGATGTATAGCTATTTTAGAGGGTGTGATGGACGTACTAACGAAAGTCAAAGAATTTCATATATAGATATTTGCCCAAACATATGCATGCTCTCTTGGTAGGTAACTTAAAGCGGAATAGTGCGTTCCGTCCTTACTAGGTGTCACATACTTTGTGGCATATCTAAGAATGCTGAGTAAATCATATATATATATATATATATATATATATATATATATATATATATATATATATAAAGTGAACTTCCTAGATATAACATTAGATCTAAATAAAATACATACACACCTTATAAAAAACCAACACCAATCCTTTATATATACACCCTGAATCGAATCACCCCCCATCTATAATTAAACATATACCGTTATCTATCAGTAAACGAATTAGTACAAATTCAGCAAATGACAAAATTTTCGATGAGCATATCAATTCCTATAATAAGGCTCTAAAAGATAGTGGCTACAGAAACCCAAAACTAACTTATATAAAAAATGAAAATGCAATGCATAGAAAAACAAAAGTAGAAAAATAATTTGGTATACACCCCCATACAACCAAATGGTAAAGAACAAATTAGGACAAAAATTCCTCGCATTAATAGTCAAGCATTTTCCTAGTGAAAGTAAACTAAGTACTATTTTCAATAAAAACACACTAAAATTGAGTTACAGCTGTACGGAAAACTTGGAAAAAATTATTAAGAACCATAATGCTAATATCTTAAACAAACAGTTATACCAAAACCAAAAAAAATTAGACAATGGAAGAATAAACTGATGAAAATAAACAAAAATTATGTAACTGTAGAAACCCTCATAATTGCTCTCTACAAAATAAATGTCGCACTGAATCATTAGTATACCAATGCAATATGTCTTTGATTGAGAGTCCGGAAAACATAAATATATATATAGGTTGCACTAACCATGAGTTCAAAAAAAGATTCAAACAACATCAAAGTTCATTTAGGATAAATAAATATAAAAATCAAACATCTCTATCGAAATACTTCTGGCACCTAAAAGAATCAAATAAAACACCTACAGTAAAATGGAAGTTAATAAGAAAAGCTAGAATATGTAGGTCATTAAATGACCCATGTCCTTTGTGCATACATGAGAAACTATATATTACTAAGTTTATAAAAAATTAAAATTTACTGAATCAGAGAAATGAAATAGCTATTTTATGCCGTCATTGTCAAAAATTTTCCTTAAATAATGTTTAAAAATAAAAGTAAATTTAAAAAGGTGCGATCACGTAATATACATACTTATATTTAACAGGAAAAAATAATTTTATATACTGTAAGTAATTCTATTACATTTACTGTTTTTTCTTATAAAAAAAAATAGGGCATTAAAATAACAATGAAAATATTTTAAAGTTGCATTTAAAATTGTAGTTAAAACGAATTCTAGCCTAAACATCTTTTAAAATTGTAGTTAAATAAAACATATTCTAAGCTAAACACCTCTCAAAAAGTACTACCGGCACTTAAATGAATCCAATAAAACACCTACTGAAAAATGAAATTATGTCGAAAAGCTTGAAGATGTAGGCCATTGAATGACCCATGCCCTTTGTACATACATGTGAAACTATATATTACTGAGTTTATATATAAAAATAAATAAATAAAGTTTACTAAATCAGAGAAATGAATTAGCTATTGTTGCCGTAAGTGCCATAAATTTTACTTAAATAATATTTAAATATAAAATTTTAAAAATCGTAATAAACATATACTTGATGTGGAAAAATAATTTTATTTACTGTTAATACATTTACTTCTATTAAAAGAAATATAGTCTATTAAAACTAACAATGAAAATATTTTAAAGATGTAAGTAAAATTGTAGTTAAATAAAATGAATCCTAACCTAAACTTCTTTTAAATTGTAATTAAATAAAACGTCTCTTAACCTAAAGACCTCCCTCTAAGTACTACACGAACTTAAAAGAACCCAATAAAACACCCACAGTAAAATGAAATTAATATAAAATGCTAGATGTAAGCCATTGAATTGACCCATGTCCTTTGTACTTACATGAGAAACAATATATCACTCGGTTTATATAAAAAATAAAAGTTTACTAAATCAGTGAAAGTAAGTAGCTATTTTTGCCGTGATGATCATAAATTTTACTTAAATAATAATTACAAAAAAAAAAATGTAACATAATAACATGCATACTTATATTTGAAGTGAAAATAATTCTACATACTGTAAGAGATTCTAATAAATTTAATTGCTCTTAAAACAAATATAGTATATTAAAAATTAAAAGTTAAAAAATTTCAAATCGTAGTTAAGTAAAGCGTATTCTAAACTAAACACCCACCAAAAATCTTTAAATATAAAAAATAGGGAAAAAATTGCCGTAAGAATTTTTGCCGTTAACAATAAAAATTTAAAAAAAATCCAGACGACATGCATTTAATGGATGTTAGATTTCATTGAAAAATACATCCCTACCCCCTCCGAACCGTAACAAATAACGGATACATCAAAATACAGACATGATGAACACGCAGACACCCCTTGTCCAGTGAAAGTGGTTTTATCTGTAACCTTGGAAACATGAATTATGATTTTCGCTGTGTGTTTAAAACCCAGTAATTTTAAAAGTTACTCCAAAATTCGCTTGAGGATGAAATGGAACTAATGTCTTTAATTTAATTACAAAATTAAATTCTGAGCTTTTAGCTTCCATTTTTGAAACTGTGTAGCGAAAAAAAAAATTTTAAACCAATTAATTTATAATATATATATATATATATATATATTTATTTATTTGTTTATTCGAAAATTATTTCATAAACATGTTAGAAAATCACTACAAAAATAGCCATTTTGTTTCAACATTTCTGGTGTCTTATCAAGTGATGGTGTTGAATGTAAAATAAAGGTTTATATATATATATATATATATATATATATATATATATATATATATATATATATATATATATAATCTTGTCGTCGTTGTGGTTAATTCGCAAATTACTCTCGGCTAGTGAGTTGCACCGGGACATTTATCCGAAACATTGATTTTAGATTTTTCGTCTTTTCCTTTTCTCTCTAAAGTGGATGTTCTATATATATATATATATATATATATATATATATATATATATATATATATATAAAAAAATGAATATTACATTTTTTATAATAAAATGACCAACATTACATTTTATAGTAAAATTATCGAAAACATATTTTATGATTTACAATATATTTTATAGTTTTATATTATGATTTACAATAATATTTTTATAGTAAAATCCTCAAAAATAAATTTTTGATTTAATATATATATATATATATATATATATATATATATATATATATATATATATATATATATAATAATTATGGTATAGCGGCTCTGATTGAGGAATCGGAGAGCCGAGTTTCAATTTCAGTTGAATCCATTACATTCATCTACGTGTTAATACCCTTGGTATTAATCCTCTACTTCTCCCCCCAGCTATGGATAAATAGCAGGACAGACTGGGTTCTATAGCCTTGGATGGCAACTGGTCTAGGAGAAGGACAATTCTGAATTCAAAACCTGCGGAGGGTCGTTTAGGGACCTTGTGGCACGTAGTGCACCAGGTCTCTGTATTCGGCCCTTCAAAAAGTGTGGATGGTTCTGCATGAAACCTTCACCACTATAATCAAATCATATGTACTGGCGTCTGGCTGTTGACCCTCATACGTCGAATACTACGGGAGAGTCCACTATATATATATACATATATGCCACACAGTTCTTTTTCACGTGTTCATTCCAGGTGCAGTTGTGTCTGTTACATGGGGTCTCCACACACCCTATGAGGTCAACCCTACACCTAGGCCGCTTGCGCAATGTTTGTTCTGGTATAAGCTCAATAAAGAAAGACAACTTTATTTTATTGGTTTCAAGTGGACACACAGACAAACGTTAAATTTTATATATGTGCAATTATCTGAACTGACAGATTACAAGCGAGAAAAGAATTTTGAATTGAAGAAAGAAAGAAATATTGAAAGGGGAAAAAGGAAATTTAGAAAGAGGAAAGAAAGAAATTTAGAAACGAGAAAGAAAGAAATTTAAGAAGGAGAAAGAATGAATGAAGGAAATTTAGAAAGGTGAAAGAAGAAAATTTTAGAAGGGGGAAAGAAAGACATTTTGAAAGAAGAAAGAAATTTTGAAAGAAGAAAGACGGAAACTTAGAAAGGAGAAAGCAGAAAATTTTGAAAGAAGAAAGACGGAAACTTAGAAAGGAGAAAGCAGAAAATTTTGAAAGAAGAAAGACGGAAACTTAGAAAGGAGAAAGCAGGAAATTTTTAAAGAAGGACATTTTGAAAGAAGAGGGAAGAAAATTCTGAAAGAAGAATGAATGAAGTTCTGAAAGAAAGGAGGACATTTTGTAAAAAGAAAAAAGGAAATAAAGAAAGAAGAAAAAAGCCACTAAGGAGAAGAAAGAAATGTTGAAAGAAGAAAATTTTGAATGTAGAAAGGAGGCTATCGATTTAAAAATGAGAATTCTTTTATTCTTTTCTTTTATTTTTTCAAGTGTTTGAAAATTATTCGCAAGATGCAGAGCATTACGTATTCGAGAGTTTGAATAAAAACAGTGATGTAAAATCTTGTCAAATGTCGAAGGTTTCAGTGTTAGCTGATGAAGATATTTTTTTCTTTTCTCAATAGAATTTTTGTTTGTTTGTTGTTTTATTGCTTTGTGGATGTCTTTATTTGTTTAAGTTTTCCCTAAAATATTTTAAAATGATAATTTTCATCCTCTGTGCAATGTCGTTTGCAGACAAAAAAACAAGTATATACAAACAAATCAGTAATTTTTGTTTTCTTTAAAAAAAAAATTTAATTGAATAAAAACTCAGCAATTAAGGTGAACACCATTTTCAAAATGGAAGTCAAATAATATGTGTGCACGCTAATTGATTAATTACATCATTTGGGCAAAATATCTTCTCCTTTTTTCTAACTTATAAAGCAACTACATAACAAAATGCAGCATTTATAATCAATAATATTCAGCTAATACTTGGATTTAGCCAGTCCATTTCAAATCACCAACTGCTGTTTGGACACTGGCCAGTATTTTTAATTCGGCATTTTAGCGTGGCCTGTCACGATGCCAGGAAATTAAGAAATCCAAGGAGCCTCGATTTCGTTACACTGACGTGCAAAATAAACTGGGTTTATTTCTTCATGCATATATATATATATATATATATATATATATATATATTATAAAAAGTTCCCCAAAATTAGATACATCTGTCTAATAACGTTTAACTCTATGTTCAATAACGGTAGCTACGCGACGAGGAATGGAGAAACGTGCTAAACGTGAGTTTTGTTTGTAGAATGCGTCTGCAAGGAATATATAAGGTTCCTTATTTGCTCAATGGGGTTTCAATCTGGTGAGTGCAGGCGTTAATAGATTATTTGGAAATTGACCGAGTTCTTCTTGAAGCAGTTTTTTTGTGATCAACGAATGATATAGACCTATGTTATCTTACTTTTGCAGTGAGAAAAATGAATTGTGGGGAACGCAAAGTTTGCAAGAAGTTCTGACTCTGTCACAATTGACACATTAGTTTCCAGTTACACTAGCAGTATTTGTGAACTGCAACAAAACACATTTCAACAGTCTCAATATAAAGTTGTCACCCCTGTCTGTCCGTTTCTTATTGAACTCCTCCTAGGGTTTTAGAGATAGACCCCCTAACCATACATATTCTGAAACTACATTACTCTTGGATAAGTATATTTCATTTTGATCGATGTGCATCCCGCACTGAATTTTTTTTTTTTTTATTTCCGTTTGATTTAAATTAAATTTAAATTTGAACAAAGAAATGGCTCCTAGGGTACTTGGATAAGTATATTTCATTTTGATCAAAGGAGCTCCCGAGTGGCACAAAACCCCCCACTGAATTTTTTTTCCTTTTGATTTAAATTAAATTTAAATTTGAACACAGGAATGACTCCCATCCAAAATATAGAAGGAGAAAGCCAAAAGATAGAGGTCACATCGTCAAGATCAAAATGAGACAATATGGATGCCAAGTTTAGCAAGAAATTATCAATCGGTGGCTAGTGCCTTACAATACATATTTGTTGCGACAATTCAACTGTCATATCAATGTCGAAATCTGCTCGTCAATTCATCGAACTCTTCCTAGGGTTTGGCAGATAGACACCCATAACTATATATATTCTGAAACTAAATTACACATGCTACTTTGATAAGGATATTTCATTTTGATCAAAGGGGATTCCAGGAAGGCAACACCCACTGAAATATTTTCTCTTTGATTTAAATTAAATTAAAATTTGAACAAGAGAATGACTGCTATCCAAAATATAGAAGGAGAAAACCAGAAGATGGAGGTCACATCGGTAAGATCATTGAGTAATATTAAAATGCATCATTTTTCTCCACAAATTATAACAATAATTTAAAATCAATCATCATTTTTTAAAAAAACAAATATGTGACATGCAGCAAAGCGCGGGTAATTTGTCTAGTACTATTATAAAGCCACAATCAGTTTGCACAATACACTGCAGACAAACTAGAGCCACAACATATAGTTTCCACCCACCACGAAAACTCTACCGTCTACTTGTAAGAACTGGAAACGTGATTTGTCTGTCCATGAGACACAACATCAGTAGCTTCATGAAAAGTAGTATAGGCCGTACAGTGAGTTGTATGACGAGGTGACAGCTAAGAATGTGTTTTGATGCAATCTTCCCCTTCCTTTCTCATTAGTAGACCCTTTTTGTATCACTTATGGGCAACCGTGCTATTGTTGTCTGTTCGAAATTGATATATTTCTGGTACACGTTTCCTACACTTAGCCGAGAAGAAGAGAAAGAAAATGTTTTAAGGATAAAAAATCTTAATAATCAGTCTACTGTAAAATGGTACTAATATAACTCCTTTTACCGACGCATACGCCCGGTGGTGTGACCACGTTTAGTGGTCCGGTCCTCAGGGTTTAGGACGACGTTTTAACCACGGGACTAACTCAGCTCTGGTCGATGCTGACGCTGGTCCAAGCTGGTTGGTGGTAGCTGACCGATTCGATCCAAACCAACTCTGCCCATGTTATGTTTTTGATCTCAGAGAAGTGGGAGATCGAATGCCGTAGTATTGGCAGCGCTGGTTCGGGCAGTGGCGGGTGCTACATGAAGGGAAGAAATAAAACGGGAGAATAAAACGAGAGATATATTGGGTTAATCTTCAATTAGGTTCTTGGTACAACAAAAATGAACTCTTCCCGCATCAGTCTCCATAGGGACAACAGAGTCTCGCCTATTAATTCGGGGTTCAAAGTTCTTCAGAATCAGGAAATCTGGTGGCAGCTGACGTGGATTCCAGAGGTACTCGATGCGGGTTTCGCAACCCAAGTCTTCCAGATCTTAAAGCCATCTGCTTATATGAAAGCGTGCTACTAGGTTGGCATCTCGGTCCCAACCTTTTACTGCCGGAACAGTTGAATGTAACTCTTCTATTCCAAAAGCTTCTTCACTCGCACTTCCGGACAGTGAAAGCCGCTTCCTCTTAATTACTTCCCTGATAACAATAATCTTCAAAATTTTAAATGTAATGTTAATCGACATCTTCTGATGCCTTGATCCTGATCTGCGTCCTTCTTTTTATCCTTTCCTCAAGCACTCCTCTTTACTCTTACTTTCACTCTCTGTAACCGTCCCCTCTTTACTCTTACTTTCACTCTCTGTATCTGCCCCCCTTTACTCTTACTTTCACTCTCTGTAATCCCTCCCTTTAGTCTTTTTCACTCTGTAACCTCTCCCTCACTTCTCCTGTAATCCCCCCCTTTACTCTTACTTTCACTCTCCGTAATCTTTCTCTTTCTTTTCTCCTCTGTAACCATTGCATGCTAGTGGCACTCCCGCCTTGCTAGGGATGAAATTCTTAAAAATATGCCCTTCAGCCCAATACTGGTGTGAGGCTGGGGATTCGTTGATTCTTCAATTTTCAAATTAATCCCAATAAGGGTTCTTTGTTATTTATTTCTTCTTTCTCAATCACCGCCTCCCACCTACTCAAACTGTCATGGGTATCACGAAAAATCTGAGGAAATGATTTTGATATTCTTTTAATAATGTTTTATATTGAATATATTTTATTTACTCTCTGTAGACTTTGCCATTTAAACCTCAGTTTATTTCATATTTTAAGCTTTTATCTTATCTTAGCTTTAGCTTATATCCTATTACTGTGTGTGTGTGTGTGTGTGTGTGTGTGTGTGTCAGTCTAAGTGGGAAAACTTACTCTGACTTGACAGCGCGTTTCGTCATCGTTCGATAGACTTCCTCATGGCAGAACGAAAAAATATTATCTGTCTGGGTGTAGGGGGTGTTTCAATATTAAATTCGTTGATATCTTTCCGTTGGGTTGGAGTTCCTTGATCGGAATGATGAATCAAATGATGTGATTTTATTCTAAAGAATTTATTTTAATTTGTGATATCGATTGTCGATCGGGTAATTTTTTAAAATTTTTTTTTTAATGTAATTTAGAGTTTGGCGTAAACTATTCGCTTCTGGTTTTGATGTTATTTTGTTGAAGTTCCAATTCAATTTTTCTTGCTTTGTCGAAAATTGTTTATTCATATTTTCATTTATTTTCGCTTAGTTTTTCGGAGGTAAATTTAAGGTAAATCTTTCTCGATTTCAGTCAGAATTGGCTGAAAGCAAGAGATTTTTGTATTTTTTGATTAATTATAGCTTTCTCTTTGCATTTTCTATATCGATAGGATATGTGTTAGTAGGGCATAGAATCCGAACGAAAGTTTCATAAATCAAAGTAGGAAAATCTTTTGTTGATTTAACGACGATGCTTTTCGCCTTCTTTAAAGAGGCTTCTTCGGAAGAGAACGTAAAGAAAAAATCAATGTGTATGGGCGCAAACGTGTGTATGTGTCTGTTCTTCAATATTCAATTGTTAATATCTTTCCGCTAGGTGGCGTCCCTTGATTGGTTTGATTTAGTTTGTTTTGTTTTACGGCATATCAACCTTAATGTGTTATTTAATGCCGACAAGATTTTTAGGATAGATTCGTATGAATAGAATGTGTTCTTTGTAAGCAGTCAGTTTGTAGGAGATCAGGTTTCATTGCTATATTTTTGTAAAGAGGGGTTTTGTCGACAGTCAGATGTATTGCTGGTATTTTTTTTTCAAAATGTATTGCTGGTAATATGGAACACCAATGGATATTTACAATTGGTAAAATGAAACATTAATGAATATTTACAATGAATACAATTTCTATACAAGAAACTAAACAAAAGAAGAAATGTCACCAAAACAGTTAACATGAAAATATTTATAGAAAAATCAAAGGCGGTGAGTAAGTAACTGAAGCTGAGATGCCAGGTGAGGAACTGTAACACTGCAGATTCATCTTTGGATTTTATCTTGACAAAACAATGGATTGTGTGACTGATAAAAGCCATTCTTT